ACGCTCTTCTAAGCACTTTACATGTATCATCTCATTCAATCCTCAAAACAATCCAGAAGGAGGTACTGTATTATCTCCATTTTAATGTAAGGAAACTGAAGCACAGGAAGATTAAATAACTCACCAAGGAAAAACATGGAAGAACAGGATTCAAGACGCAGCTCAACTCCAAAGCCCCTGCATGCAGCCACTAGACCACACTGCCTCTGGAACACTAACTCAGTTCCATTCCCTAGAGTCCTTTACTCTTAGTGAGATGTTACTGCCACTTCCCTCATCTCAACAGCATGCAACTCTAAAGCTTAGTATGCACTCAATATTATTTTTACTAACAGTTACTCAAAGCTGAGGTTCATTCCGGATGGTAACTAGCTATAGGTTTAAACATTTTGCACACACGATTAAAGTTATAAGCTGTTACTTAATACTTTTGTTTAAAAACAGTAGACCCTTTACACAGGAACCGAGGAAAGAGAAAATTCCATTCTTCCCCTCAACATCAGTGCTTTTTGTTGGTGCCTTTCCCTTTCCTTTATCTAATTCTTCATCCTCTACAAAGACTATAAAAAGAAATGAGGGAGCATGTCAAAGGTACTGAGTTGTAACTCTGACGAGGTTTGTTAAAATATAAATTACTGTTTCAGCAGAAAGCCAGCTCATTTTCTCTCTCCCTCCCTCCCCTTCTCACCCTCCCTCCCCCCACTTCTCTCCCTCTCTCTCCCTCCCTGTCTCCCTTTCTCTCTCTCTCTCTCACACATACACACAAAATTTAATTAACACTCATGTTTTCCATTTGGTTTTAAATTGGATAATTTAACAGTTATAGAGCCAAATTACTTGTGATTCTTATTGACACCTTTGAAGAAGAGAATAATTTGGTTGGTTCATAACGTATACCAACCGACATTTGAACAGAGACCTGGAGGACCTGATGGAACAAACTATACTGATGCCTGAGGGAAGAGAGTTCCAGGTAAAGGAAAGAGCAAGCACAAGGACACTGAGCTTGGAGCATGTTGGATGTGTCTGTGGAACAGCAAGGGGGCTAATGTGGCTAGAGCAGTGAGTGCCGGGGAGAATGGTGATGAGGGCAAAAAGGTAACAGGACCAGCTAAGATATGACTTAGGACCCTGGCTTCGCTCCAAGTGAGATGATGAGCTACTAGAGGATTTTGATCTTATATGTGAAAAAGAGCGCTCCTTTTAAGACAGACTGGGGGTTAGGGGGAATGAAAGGTAGGTAATAGTTAGGAGGCTACTAGTGGCAGGAGAGAAGCTGCTGAGTTATCACACTCTGGATTTTTGTAGGTATATATAATTTAGATTAACAGTTTCCAAAATACATTACCAAAGCCAAATAGCAAATTGCTAGGATTAATAATACCACCTGTATATGACAGAGGTCTGGTATTAGTAATTTGCCGTGCTTTCATGGCTTGTTGTTGTTTTTCCAGAGCTGCTAACATGTCCCCCAAATCTAGTTGTACAGGTGTCTTATTCTTTTTCCCAGCTGCCTTTGATAAAGCTTCCTGCAAGGTAAACATGAAAACATTTTTCATTTTAGTATGAAAATGTGACAATTTAAGATAATTATATTTGTCAGTTTTCCATCCATCCCCCAAAACCTACCAAATAAACTATCATATTTGTTCATAAAAATGAATACATACCTGTAGTTTTTTTTGCTCCATACTTATTTCTGAATATTCTTGAGCTGTGGCAAGGGCTGCTGCTAAAGCTTTCTTCTTTTGACTTTTTGCACGTTTAGGAACTGAGGTTGTAATGGGAATTGGTGTCTGAACTATATTGATTGGTGAGTTCTCAGGTAAATCATCCAACTATGATAACCAGAGAAAAACATTTGTTAGTGATCCCATAAAAGTCTAATCATAAGGAAAGACAATCTAGAATGTGAGATATTCTACAGTATAACTGGACTAGACTCTTCAGAAGATTCAATTACATAAAGAACAGAGTGAGATGGGGGGATCATTCTAGACAGGGAGACTGGAAAATAATAGAGACAAAACAGCAAAATGCAATAGGCGATAACTGTCTGGATCCTGGACTGAAAACAAAATAACTCCGAGGTAAAGTTTTGCAACAACTGGGGAAATTTTAGCATGGACTATATGGTTTATGATGTCATTTAATTAATCGTATTTCCTTGTCTGTAATGGAACTATGGATTTCAAAGGACAGTGTCTCTGTTCTGGCTATGCTGAGAAGAAATACTAAAGATCAGTACTAAATACAGTGCTTCTTCTATACCATGCTGCCCTACAAGTCTTTATACTTAGCTGTAATATTTCTTTTCAACGTTGCCATAGCTCAAAAGATGTTCAAATATTTTGCTTATCTTTTTTAAAAGAGTCACTTACTACTTTTGAAGAAAGTTTCTGTTGAACATTCTCATCTTTAGCACTTCCATTCTCATTTAGTTCTCGAAATCCATCTTCATCCTAAAATAGTTCCACATTTTAAGTAAAAACAGAGTTCAAAGCAATAAACTCTTAAGAACAACATTTATAATGCTTAAGAGTAATGAAATGACAGGGAAGTAATTTTTTAACTCAATATTAAACTATTTAAAGTCAGTCTTAGAAAGGAAATCTCATTTCTCACATGCTAAAACATAGCTAATTTAATTATTCAAGGATGGGGATACATCCACACATGTCCATCCTTTAGATTTCTGCATCTACTATTCCATTTTTATTAATAATTCTACCCTAAGGTGGGTAAGTAAATAAAAAGAAATTCAAAAAGGATTTTATCACATTTCACATAATTTTGAGAAGATTTTAAACAAATGGCTTAGTATGAATTTCATTAATATATTCCCTGTCCCATTACTACATACACCAGTCAATAACATTAAAAGTTAAAAAATAAAAATAAATTCTCTATTCAAAGTAATTTCTTAACCAATATCCTCCTTTACACTGAAATTTATATCTATTATTTTTAACTAAATATAAGTATGGAACCAATCATATGATTAAGTGCAAATAAAAAATCTGCCACATGTACTGTTCTTGATACACTACTTGAGCTGAAGCCTCAAGTCCTTTAGGTCAATTACTAAGCTTATCTAACATATTATTCATCTGAAGCCTCTGGCCTCAAGCATATTTAAACTCCATCTATTAACTCATTTTATAGAAACTATATAACAAAAATGAGTTACCTGGGATGTTGTTCACCATCTTGACACAATCAAATTCTACTCATTCTTTAAAACCTATTCCAAATGTTATCCCTATCCTGCCTCAAACCCAAAGGGACTTATTCCTCCTTTCAACTTCAACCACACCCAAGAAGTATCAGGTGTGTACATGTCTACATTCCTCTATTACACAGCAACCTCCCTAAGGGTAGTGTGTTTATTCACCTTAATGTATCATGCAGAGCACCTTACTTTAAACATACAACAGGCCTCCAATGAGCACCAGTTAGATGAATCATAGAAACACTGCAATAAGATTATAAACTGTCTGCCTATTAGAAAAAGTAAAATAGCCTTTTATCTTCCTTCTTCAAGACTCCCCTGGCTAGCAGCACAAACTGACTAGATTGAACTGTTTAAATTTGAAAACTTAACAAATAGATTCAACAAACATAATAAATGTTAGGAAGAAAGTTTCAAACTAGGTGAAGTCCACATATAACTAAGTTCTACCGCCATATGTTACCTCAAAATGAATACCCATGACAAAAATTTATAAAAATAAACATAATAAAGTTAATGTTAGACTAACTATATATAACCAAGACAAAAATGACAAGACAAATACATCTAAGTAACTTACAATCTACTTGCAGTCACATGTTAAGACATAAAAAGTACTTATCATAATGTAAGAAAAATTAATTTCTTAATGGCAATAATTGTACTATAACAATATACAGTTTGAAAAAATACCTCAAAATATAAAGACTCGGAATTTGGGTCGCCTCTATGACACTGACTGGGGTTTAACTGCTTATTATCTTGTCTCTTTTGCAAATTCTGTCTTCTTTCTAAGGAAGTACTATGTCCCCGGCATCTGAATCCAACCTAAATAAACCCCAGAGGGGGGAAAATATGTTACTTTTAAGTAAAACATTTTATTGAAGTATAACATACAGAAACGTACCCCAAAGTATACAGCACAATGAATTTTCATAAAGTGCATAACTTATTACAAAAGGTTAAAACTTTTGACAAATAAGGCCATTATAATGAAAATACAAAAATGTGATAATTAGTGCATGTTACTTTTTTCCCTTGTGCATGAACGTTTATATCAACTTTATTTGTAAAGCCAAAAACTGGAAACAACCCAGATATCCTTCATTGGGAGAGTAAACTCACTGTAGTATATGCATCCTATAAAACAGCAGTCAGTCACAAAAAGGAACAAACTACTGATATACCCAATAATCTGTATGAATCTCCAGAAAACGATGCAAGTGAAAAAAAGCCAATCCTGAAAAGACTGTATGAGTTCATTTATACAACATTCTTGAAATGACAAAACCATAAAAAGGGGGAACAGATTAGTGGATTCTAGGGGTTAAGGAGAGGCTGGTGGGGAAGGGAAGGGAGTTTGGCTATAAAAGGGCAACATGAGGGATCCTTGCAGTAATGGATCTGTTTTGAATCGACTATATTGATGTCAATATCAGGGTTGTGATACTGCACTATAGTTGCAAGATGTTATTACCATTGGGAGAAACTGAGTATTACCTTTTTATAAAACTATCGTAGATCTTTTATATCTGTAGTTTTATTGTTTTTTAATTCCTAGGAAATATTAAACATTTTAAATCTTGTTTATAAGAAAACAAATTTAAAAGAATAAAATTGTCATTCAATCACATAAATTATTATTCTATTGACCCATTTGCAAAATGTACAACTGTTATAAAAGAAAAAAACACATTAAGCACTTTAAGACTCTTAAGACAATCAAGTTCCCTCTCTTAAGTACCTAATGCAACTTAGATGAAATGCCTCTGAACCACGACACCTAGATAAGATGTGAAAAGTATGATCCTCCTTACCAGTTACCCAAGAATTCTAACAATATACAGAACTTGAAGCAGACCTGGACTGAAGGTGCTGTTGTATAGACTTTGGATTATTAAATCAAAAATATGCACACAAAGACCTAGAAGCACCTAGCAATTCCAATGCTAAGCAACTGGTCTAAAAAGACTTGCTGATAAGAAACAAAATTTTTTTTTTTTTTAAGAAACAGAATTTTTATATTCTCTTGGGAAGTAGGCTGTATGGCAGAACTATAGGCCAGAAGATAAGTCATATAGCAAATGTAATCTTCCTTAGAATATGCACAATGGGGCTACTTCCTATAACCTATAAGCATCTGTTAAGAAACTTGATAATTTGCCAGGTACCCAACAGTTCCTTGGTTTTAAATATTTACCTCATTTTAAAATAAACTCATGAACATGGATAGAGAGATAGACAGAGGAATACATATGTGATGAAGCAAATTTCTGTAAAATCTTTGATAGCATCAAGCTAGTAGCTATATGAATGGTCTCTATAAAATTGCTTCAACTTTAAGGTCTGTTTGAAAATTTTCATAATAAAGTATTTTTTAAATTGGCTCATAAAAAGCAGCTCATACAAGGATGCTAAAACAAATGCAATTTACAAAGTCTAGGTACTAAAGGAACAACTGAATTCACATAAATTATTAACACTGAAATGAAAACCAATAATCAAGCCCAAATATTGGGATGAACAGAAGCAAGAGAATAATTCTTGAGTAGAACTCTTCATTTCTTTGTACAGTCACTATCACGAACAAATAAATGTAAACCTGCCCTCCAAACAGCATTACAATTATATCAGAATGTAAGCCCTGGGCTTCCCTGGTGGCGCAGTGGTTGGGAGTCCGCCTGCCGATGCAGGGGATATGGGTTCGTGCCCCGGTCCAGGAGGGTCCCGCATGCCGCGGAGCGGCTGGGACCATGGGCCATGGCCTCTGGGCCTGCGCGTCCGGAGCCTGTGCTCCGCGGCGGGAGAGGCCGCAGCGGTGAGAGGCAAAAAAAAAAAAAAAAAAATGTAAGCCCTGTTGTAAACCAGCCTTAGTATATATGCATTAATGTTGTTACAAACATAAAAACAATTTTTTAAAAAAATAAATGCAACTTGATTCTTGTACTTGGAGACATAAAGTTCCAGGATTAAGTTAAAACCCCCAAGCTAAAGGTCCCAACAAAGTTCATGAGGACCAAATATGCAAGTATTTCAATTACCTCCTGGAATGAACTAATAACCCCCCTTTTAAAAAAATTCTTCTAAGAAAAAAGAGTTTTGTTGTTAGAAAGTGGGCATAGTGAACAAAGCAGAAACTACAGCTACAGCTACACATTAAGATTCTTAAATGACTAGCACAAAATCAGCATCTAAAGATTCAGGTGTTTATATTCCATTTACATAACAAAAAAGAAAAATACTAGGAATTGACAAATGAGGAATATGTACAAATTTATTTTCAGAAAATTATACAATACTTCTGAAGAACACAAAAAGGTAACTCAAAAAGAAGAAGACAGGGGACTTCCCTGGCGGTCCAGTGGTTAAGACTCCTCGCTTCCAATGCAAGGGGCCTGGGTTCGATCCCTGGTCAGGGAACTAAGATCCTGCATGACGCACGGCACAGCCAAAAAATTAAAGGAAAAAAAAAAAAAGCAGGAAGACATTTTTTTTCTAGAAAGATGCCATATCATAAAGGCAATCCATTCTCCCTAAGTTGATAGATTAGTTTAAAAACCAATGCAACAGGGCTTCCCTGGTGGCCCAGTGGTTGAGAGTCTGCCTGCCGATGCAGGGGACATGGGTTCGTGCCCCGGTCCGGGAAGATCCCACATGCCGCGGAGCAGCTGGGCCCGTGAGCCATGGCCGCTGAGCCTGCGCATCCAGAGCCTGTGCTCCGCAACAGGAGGCCACGGCAGTGAGAGGCCCGCGTACCACAAAAACAAAACAAAACAAAAAAAACCAATGGAACAAAACAGAAAATCTGGAAACAGATTTCAATATATATGGAAATTTAATAGGTGATAAAGGTAGTTATCTCAAATAGGTGAAGTAATGGACTTGTCAATAGATGGTGCTGGGAGATTTAGGTAGCCACTTGAAAAATACAAAATAGGACCCATATCTCACAACACCCACCAAGACAAACTCTAAATGGAGTAAAGATTTAAATGTAAAAAAAACACAAGAGCATAAACACATTGGAGGAAAACAGGCAAATTCCTTCATAAAAATAAACTTCTTAATGCTATTTAAAACAAACTTGTATATGGCAATAATAATAAGCAAAATCAAAAATAAAAATGAAAATCTAGCAAAATATTTTCAACTCATATTACAGACTACCGGCTCCCAGAAATTAAAAAAATTTGATAAGAGCTTGATCAAATTGATTTAAAAATGTACAAAAACAGGGAATTCTCTGGCGGCCCAGTGGTTAGGACTCGCACTTCCACTGCAGGGGGCTTGTCTTCAATTCCTGGTCAGGGAACGAGACTCCCACAAGGCACACGGCCCAAGAAAAATAAAAATATCTAAATTTAAAAAAAAATTTTAATGTACAAAAACAGAGAAATAGATCAAGATACAAAAAATGGTCAAAGAGTATGACAAGTTCACAGAAAAGTACAAACGGCCCTTAAACATATGGAAAGATACTCAACTACTTTAATACACTATTCCTCCCTCACTGGCACAAATCCAAAATCTTGAAAACACAGGTTACTGAGGCTACTTGGAAATAAGCACTCTCCACATTATCGGTGAGAATGCAAAATGGTACAATCTGGTGTTATTTACCAAATAACGGAAATGACTTTATCTTTTCACTCAGCAATACCTTATCTAGGAATTTATTCTACTGCTATACACACAGATTTCTAGTTAATACTGCAGCATGTCTATTAACAGCAGTAGTTTACAAATAATTCAAGTGTCCAACGACAGGACTTCAGAAATTAACAAGGATATATCCATACAACATTAGGAGTTGTTAAAAAAAAAAACTCTGGGAAAATACACAGATATAGGGAAGAGAAGAAGACAAGTGGAGACAGGGTAAAAATGAGATTGTTCATTGTATAACCTTTTTCATATATTTTATTTTTCAACCTATTCACAAAATAAAGCCATTTTTAAAAACTTAAGTTTTTACATTCTATCCCTCATTTACATCACAGTATGGAAAAAATCTGCTGTTTCAAATGTTAAAACACTGGTAAAAGCATTAAAAATCACTGCATTGTACAGTAGTTAAAGCAGCATGGTACAGGTGCAAAAATCTGATAAATGGAACAAAAAAGCCCAGAAACAGGACCCAAGACATAAGAAATTAGCAAACGACTAAAAGGGCAGCACAAATCAGAAAAAATAATGGATTACAATGTTAAGACAACTGGTTTACTGTGAAAATCGACCTCATATGTTGTATCATGCATCAAAAAGAAACCTCAGATAAAAAACTTTTGAAAACATTACCCTGTAAAAAAGAAGCACAAAATACAAGTGAATATTTACTAGATTTCTAAGACTTTTTAAGCCTAAAACCAATCAGAAATTGCAAAGGGGAAAAATATTTTGACTTAAAAGAAAAAAAAGGTTCTGCATATCAAAAATCAAGCTACACACTTAAGAAAAGTATAACAAAGCCTCAGAAGTAGAAAACACACACATTGTTCAACATCTGGCTCCAGTTCTTTTGGAATGAAGGGAGACAAAATAAACAAACGTTTATGCGTTTCTATAATTGAAAGTTTTGTGTTTTTTTACCATTCCGCATCAGTTTTGAGGCAGAGATAAAATGTTTTTCTGTATCAGTATTATTTCCTCTCTAGTGGGCTACTGATACCAAAAGTACCAGTAATAAGACTGCAAACTTGGCAGGTCTAGCAGTTACGATTTCAATAAAAAATTTCAGTCCTTGACCAAACATTCCGTAGATTTTGTCTATCTAATCTATATGAACAAGTCTTGTTTTAGCTCTTTTGTTTTTAATCAAATAAAGCTAGACTGCCTCACAAGCCTGCCACAAACAACAATGACTCATTTTTGCAATAACCATAGGGAAGAGGGCATTATTCTACTTGCTTTCCCGACAGCCTAATTAACATCAGGGTACATCTGAAGTACTTCATTTCAGGGAAGCAAAGGCACACCAGCAAGTATCCGGTTTCCTCAATCCATTAGTAACTTACTCTTACTTCAGTTCATCCAGATCTATTCATATGGTAACTTTAATTCCTTAACTAGATTTAAGGAATCCAGGAACTCTATCTAAAAATTAAAAAGGAAAAATACTGACCAATCAACACCTCCCTGATTTCACAGACAACCAACGCAGGAAGACAATTATTGGAAGTTTGTAGCAGTATATAACTCGCTCTGCTGTACTGCAGCTAGGTCTTGCTCCCCAAGACCAGGAAGCTGCCCTGTCTGGCCACATTATGGCAGAGGCAGCCATCACTATGGTACTGCAAGAAGCACCGAGTATGGCTTGTGGTGTTTATAGTCAACTAAAGACACGTGGACAAGGCTACAGTCCTAAAATTCAAAGAATCAGTATTTAAGGTATTAAAATGCTTTAAATTTTTTATATGGATAAGAAACAGTCACAGAAGATGAAGCAGGACTGGAGAGTATTCTTTTTTAAAATTATAAAATATACAAATATATTTCTTAAATATAGAAAAGTAGAAAATGGTACAATATACATCCCACCTACATTCAACATCTTGCCATTTTGTTTCATTATTTAAATAATAATTTTTTTGGCTAAGCCATTTAAAAGTTACAGATATCGTGTTATTTTAAACACCACAATATGTATCACCAAAAATTAAGGACACTGCCCTTCAAAACCACTATACCATTTATAATAATGCATCTCACACTACTCAAATCTCTCCAACCTAATCCAAATTACCTGTGAATTATTTCTTTGTTCAGCCTGCCTTCCACCTCTAGAAAATGTCTGATTTTTTTCCATCCAAGGTTTTTTCTGAGTTGCCTGGCAAGTTACACTGGACCAATTTACACCACCTGTATGTAATAAATGAGATTTTAAAATATAAAGATGTCAAAACCTAAAGGGCCCCCTAACTTCACGTACTGAAACTCAGTCACTATAAATGTTAATACTGAAAAATTTTCCATAAACTTAAAGTGGTATTCCAGTTCTTAGTAATACAAGTTGTCATCTTTCAGAATACCTCTAGCTGGAATTTTCTCAATTTCATCAACAAAACTATACTTTCAAATTAACTTGAATTTCCTTGGAAGATTTCTAATTTTTCTGCAGCATCAGCAAGCTTCATGCTTAAAAACAAAGCTGTGACATGAACAAAGAAGAAAGTATAGCAAAAACACTACGCAGAAAGTAAGTACCTGCACATATAGATGATTCCACATGCTAAAAATAGAAACAAAAAAGACAATTATTTTCCGCTTAAGAGTAAACACCATATACCTTGCAAAACATTTCATAATTCCATCTAGTGTGAAGCATGCTTATTATAATCTTAGAAAAAATACTTCTGCATAAATGAGTATTCTTATATTAATAATAAAACATACAAAATACATTTTTAACCATCCTATTATTATAGGAATTGTACATGAAAATAGATACTTCAGCTTTAGCAGAGGACACAAAGATAATACTGACTCAGACGACTGATGAGGAAATCAAAGTAATGCCACATACACTGATGGTGCTAGAATCAGGATTTCTCAAAGCCCCAGCTGCAGGTTGGTTGTTGCTGTGTTTGGGACTGCAGTAGCCACTATCACTGTCAATGTCAGCTTCACTAGCCCCCTGCTCACTAGAGGATTCAGCAGTAGGGTGGGAAGCTCTTCTCCTCCTGCCTTTGGCCTTCCAGAGCATCGTGGCAGAGCTCTCTGAGAGAGATTTGTTAGCGATGTCTGATGGGAAATCTGTAAGGCAAGGAAAGTGTGACAACTGTTTTTGAGGACAAGTTCATCAATTCTTGTTATCATTAAAATTGTAAGAAAACAAAGATACCTAACTTTGTAATCAGAGAAAACAGGTGAACTTTCGAAAAGATCATCAAAAGGTAAGCTGTTCCTGAGAAGTCGGTTTATAAAATGTGTTTAGTATGAAAAGAGAATATTTGTATAACTAATATATTTGTATAATATTATAGAATAATTAAAACAAACCACCATTACCTATTTTAAGAAATAGAACATCACCAATCCTTTGAAGTCCACTGCATGCCTCCTCCACCACTGCATTCTATTTCTCCCTCAGAGGTCGCCACTATTCTGAATTGTGTTTACCATTCCTTCACTTTTTAAACTAGATTTACCAAGGATTTTTGTATTCCAAAAACATAAATCATATACTTCTGCAGTTTTAGCTTTATTAAAATGAAATCATCCTGTCCATATTCTTCTGTGACTTGCTTCCCCCTGCTGCTACCTCCTCCCCCAAACAGTGACTGGTTTTGAGATTCTGATGCATGTGGCTGTAATTCATTAAGGTCACTGGAATCTAAAATGTCTGTGTATGAATATGCCAAAATGCATTTATCCTTTGTACCACAGATGGGACACCTGGGTTGTTTGGGGGTTTTGCTATTAACAACAATACTGCTGTAAACATTCTTATATAGACATATAAATGTGTGTGTGTGCACGTGAAGTTTCTCTAAGATTATTACTGCTAGGCCTTAGGGGATACACATAATATTCAACTTTGCTTGGTAATGCCAAATCATTTTCGAAGGTGGTTAAAACAGTTTATACTCTAACAGCAGGATATATATATCCCCACTGATGCACATATTCACCAAATACTTGACACTGTCCTCTAGGCTATAATTTTTGCCAATTGTTGGGTACAAAAAGATGGCTCATTGTGGGTTTTAATTTGCATTTTTCTGCTTAATAACGAGATTGAGAATCTTTTCTCATGGTTTTAGCCACTCACATTTTCCTTTCTGTAAAATACTTGTTAATTTTACTTTTGGTTTGTTTGACTTCTGCCTATTTTTCTACTAAGTTGCCTGTTTCTCATTTTTGTATTTCACAAATTGTAATTACAAGACATTAAAAAACCTCTTACAATCTCCTATCACAAATATTCCTTTTTCCACAAGCCTTTTTTCACATACACAATTTTTTCCATATATAATTTTTATACAGAACCAATATAATTTTTGAGTTGCACTGTTTAATATTATGTATATGTTCTTCATTAATTATAATATATGAAGGCCCCATATTATTCCACTGAGTGGATGTCCTGGAGACTTCTTTTGACTTGTTGCCCGTTACTGGACATTGAGAAGTTTGCAGTGGTGTTTTTTGGTGCTGCTGCAGTGTATACACCTTTAATCAAACAGTTCCTTTTCTTTCTAGGGGAGATTCCACTTGGATACATTCACCTGAGTAGGACAACTGGGTCCAAATATTCCTATAGCTCTACCAAACTGTTTCAGCCCCTTGGCAGCACTGCATTCCAGGGGCCCTGAGCACAAGGTGGGATCATTTTCTTATTGATTCCTATAAATTCTTTATATGTCCTCACACTAATCCTTTGTCAGTTACATGCATGGTAAAAATCTTTTCCAAGATTTGTGCCTTGTTCTTTCACTCACGCTTGATAAACAGAAATTCTTAATTTTAGAAATAGTTCTCTCCATGCAATCATAAAGATATCTGCCTATATTTTCTACTACATGTGGTTTTCCCATTTAAGCCCTTAATCCATCTGGAATAGATTTGCATGATGTGTATGTTAGGGGTCTGTGATGCTATCTTTGTCATTTTCCTTATATGTGTTTCCACACATATGAGTCTGTTTCTGGGCTCTCTGTTCTGTTTGATTTTCACATACTGAATTTTATATACTATATTTCTGTATAAGCCTATAAAAAATAAAATGGCTTAATAGGTTTTGATATCTAGAGGAAAAGTTATTTTCCAGGGATGTCTTGGCCAGTGCTCCTTTATTTTAGAATTAGTTTGTCAAGTTCCAAAAAAATCCCCACTGGAGTTTTTTTTTTTTTTAATAAATTTATTTATTTTATTTTTGGCTGCGTTGGGTCTTCGTTGTTGTGTGCAGACTTTCTCTAGTTGTGGAGAGCAGGGGCTACTCTTCATTGTAGTGCACGGGCTTCCCACAGCGGTGACTTCTCTCATTGCAGAGCACGGGCCCTAGGCGCGCGGGCTTCAGCAGTTGCGGTGCGAGGGCTCAGTAGTTGTGGCTCGCGGGCTCTACAGAGCAGGCTCAGTAGTTGTGGCACACGGGCTTAGTTGCTCCGTGGCATGTGGGATCTTCCTGGACCAGGGCTTGAACCTGTGTCCCCTGCATTGGCAGGTGGATTCTTAACCACTGCACCAGCAAGGAAGCCCACCATAGGAATTTTGATTAGAACTGTATTGAATCTATAGACTAACTTAGGGGAAAAATGCCATTTGCAACATCAAGTCGTCCTGAATGAGCATGCTATTTATTTTTTTAAATGTCCTATAATAAAGTTACAGTTTTCTGCATCAATGTCTTATTATCTTTTGTCAGGTTTATGCCAGAAACTGTATTTTTGTTGCTATTGTAAATAATATCTTTTCTTAAATTTTGTTTGTTGGCAGCACACTGAAATGCAATTAATTTTTGTATATTATCTTTTATCTAGCCATGTTACTAAACTCTTAAATAATATGAGCTTGTGTTCAAGTGTAAAAAATTGTTACAAATTCCTTTAAAATTTTCATTGTACCTATAGCTGATACCAATTAATCCTGATAACTTAAAAACAAACTAAAAAATAAGAATACTGATAGAAGGTATAATCTTCTACTCAAATTATATCTTCATCTTTTCACTTTCTAATTCCTGTGCTTCAGAAGGCTGTCTTTGTGGACACTTGATGAGCAAACCAAAGACGTTAGGATAAATTTTTAAAGCAGTTCCAGGGTTCAAAGCATGTAGAAATGGGTCACTATGTCTAGGAACAACCAAAACACAGAAAACTTTGTCATATATTACCTTGTGACTCTTTTCCATAGCCACTCCAACCATTTGTCAGTCTGTTAATCTCATCGCTTTATGCCCTACAAATCACACAATGACTGCACTATCAGCAAGACTGCTTTTTAACTGATTCCCAAATCCTTTCTTGCTCCTAACAGACCTAAGCAATTGTAAAAGGAAACTAGGGCTTCCCTGGTGGCGCAGTGCTTGAGAGTCCGCCTGCCGATGCAGGAGACGCGGGTTCGTGCCCCGTTTCGGGAAGATCCCACATGCCGCGGAGCGGCTGGGCCCGTGAGCCATGGCCACTGAGCCTGCGCGTCCGGAGCCTGTGCTCCGCAAATGGGAGAGGCCACAACAGTGAGAGGCCCGCATAACGCAAGGAAAAAAAAAAAAAAAAAAAAAAAAAAAAAGGAAACTGAATAGACGTCCAACAGAAAAGGTACAGTCCAAATGAAAGAATGTATGTGCCACCTAATTCATTTTAAGCCAGACAGCATTTTTGTGAAAACTATAGGGGGTAAAAAGCAAATATGCCTTTGAACAGATGTAATTCCTAGCCTTGGATCATTAATAAGGATTTCTTTAATCACAATGGGTGTAGAGTAGAAGACAGCCATCTACTCTATAGCTATTAGGCTGAGACCAGAGATACAAAATGAAATTTCACAATATAAACTGGAAAATAGCAAGAATATTTTAAGACTATTTATTAATTCTTATCTATTACCAGGATAAAGCTTTGTAATTTAATGTTTATACAGTCCTCTAAAACACTTTTGACAAAATGATATCCAACTAGTCCAAAATATTTACTTATTTGAGGATATAGGTATCACTCATACATCTGGTTCAGATCTACGCTAAAATACGGTGCAGAAAACTTGGTAACTTCTTCTATAAAGATATTATAGGATGTTAGGATGTTTTAAAAAGGATTTTAATCTAGTTATAAAACACGTACAATTCTGATTTCTACCAAAATGAGTCCCTCAAATTTCTATAATGTCTGCAAAATTCCATCTCTGACTTCTGAACTGCTCCACTACGATAAGGGGATAAGGAAACATCAAATCCTGCCCAAAATTGTATATAAGCCAGCATTCAAGTTGAAAGAACATTAAGGACATGGACTGTTTTATCCTTCCTAGAGAATTTCACAAAGTGGCAGGATAAACAGATGAAAGCCTAGAATCCTAAAAAGTGGTAGAGTCCATGGAGTTCCCTTGTGGCCTACTGGTTAGGATTTGGAGCTTTCACTGTGGAGGCCCGGGTTCGATCCCTGGTGGGGGAACCATCCTGCTTGCTTTGCAGCATGGCCGAAATACAAAAAAAAAAAAAAGTGGTAGAGTCCACAATTATAAAGTCAATGCATGGCAACAGATGAAAATCAGTGATGTATACAGACATAGAGAACAGACTTGTGGTTGCCAAGGGGAAAGGGGTATGCAGGAGGGATGGATGGGGAGAGTTTGGGATTAGCAGATACAAGCTATTATATAGAGAATGGAAAAACAACAAGGTCCTACTGTACAGCACAAGAAACAATATTCAGTATCCTGTGATAAACCATAATGGAAAAGAAAACAAAAAAGGATGTATATGTATATATAATTGAGTCACTCTGCTGCACAGCAGAAATTAACACAACATTGTAAATTAACTATACTTCAATAAAATAATTTTTTTTTTTTGGCCTTGCCATGTAGCATGCGGGATCCCCAACCAGGGATCAAACCTATGCCCCCTGAAGTGGAAGTGTGGAACCCTAACCACTGGACCACCAGGGAATTCCCTCAATAAAATAAATTTTTTTCAAAACCTATAACGTATATATGTAAGAAATCTTGTCTTACCAGTTTGCTGTGAAGCGTCTACCAGTAGCACAATTTTTGATCGATTATCAGGACCTGCTGCATTTGTCTCTTTCTGAGTAGCTACATTTTTCACCAGTGGCCTTTTGCTTTTTATGTGCTGTTGTAAAAGCTGTTGCTGATTGAAGTAAAAAAAAAAAAAAAAAAAACTTAAGATCTTATTCAATGTACTAAACATTATAAAATACACATCCTTTATAAAAGATACTTAAATGTAGGCTACAAATTAGTGACTCCCAACCCATGAGGAAACAGGGTTACTGTGTTAGGATTTCATGAAATTATCTGCAGCCAATGATAACAGGGTAAATAATGTATTATACACACATTTATATACTATTTTCAAATAACCATTAATATTACTATAATAAAATATAAATTCATTTTAATTGTCATTTGCATTTTTAGTTTTCTCAATCAATATCTAATAAACAATAAGAGTATAATCATGTCAAATTAGGGGTTGCAAATTTTTATTTAAAAGGGTAATAAAAAGGATGGTAACTTATCCAAAAGAGAAATTTTAGCAATGAATTACAAAAGAAATTTCTGCTTGAGAGTTTAAAAAGAAAATATTTTAAAGCTGATCCTTTCCTTTATTTTTAAAAATATGGGTATTCATCACTTAATAGCAATTTATACAATACAACTCCAAACTGAACTTCTCAGATTCAAGTGCGGGAAGTGCACTCTGAGAAATCATGTTACTTCAAACTCTGAAAGTTATATACTATTGTCTTCTTTTCATTCTCAGAGGTCCCAAAAGGATTTCCCTTGATCCAGAATGTTTCCATGAACAAAGACTAAAATGCTTTTCAAAGCAACTTCTGCTGCTTGTTCGTATTTTAATCTGTTAAAAGTATGCCAGAAGATAGCAAAGCCTTTTCACCAGAGGCTAGGCTAATGGAATCTAGGAAAGCATCAACTCCTTGACAATAACAGTCATAAAATGCATCTAATCCCTCTGCCTTCTATTAGCTCAAAAGTGCTGAAAAGAAACATGGTTTTTCTTCTTATTTGCTTTGATATCATGGCCTCAATAGAAAAGTAACCTTTTAGTTAAGAAACAGTCACCTAGAATTAACCTTAATCCTCCTGTGATTTCAAGGCCTTTGTGTCTTTTTTTTTTTAATTTAGTCAAAGGCTGGTGCTGACAGAAGGTCATTTCCCACATTTATCTTTAATTTTCTATAGCCCTGGGAGACCTTGTATTCACATAATAAAGCATCCCTTGAATAACAAAGTGCTATTCCTACTAAAAATTGACAGAACAGAAACAATGAAGTTGAAGAGACAAATGTTCTTTTCCATAATATCTCCTGCTTATTTCTGAAGACTGAAATGTCTTGATGTGCATTAGGCACTCAACACTGCTAGCAAAGGACCCAAACTAATCACTTATTAAAACTGGTGTCACTATGCAATTTTTATCACTAAATTAAAATACTTTGGAAATATCTGTGCATTATGCTTATGTAAACTCTCTGAAGGGAGTGGAAGATGACTGTAAATCATATCACCATTTAAGAATGAGGAACAAGAGTAATGGAAAAAAATTATTTTACAAATGCTACACCATTGACTGTTTTTTAAAAGGTAAATTCAGGGTTAAAGGCTAATCAATACAAGTAGCAAATTACTTATACTATTACTAACAAGAGAAATATCAAACACAAAAGCCAATCAAATTCAGTCACTTACTTTTGGTACCACTGGACCTCTATTACTGTTTCTGTTTCGATGACCAGATAACGGGAAGACCTGTCCAAGCTGATTTGGACGCTCAGTGCATTCTGCAGTTATAGTATTGACAGTATTTGCAGCCTGAAAAGTGTTGGAGTAAGGTGCAGGAAAAGGATGATAGAAACCCATAACTTGGGCACATGGTGCTGGCATCAGCTGATAATATGTATACTCTGTAGAAACAGGTGGCTGAGCAGATATAATGGGGTAAGCAAGGTATGGTCCCGCAGGGTTTGGATTAGGCTGTTGCCATCGTATATCATTGTTATATAATGGAAACTGTCTGTAAAACCAAATCAAAAAAGAAAAAAATCTATTGACATGTATGTCTAAAAGTAATGCTAAAACAAAATCTCAACGTATTTTAATAAAAGAAAAAACAGTACAAAATAGTAGCCTCATAATAATTCTGAAAAAGAGATAAAATTACCATTTTATAAATTTCCTTGCTATAACTAGAGATTTTTATGTACATGTAATAACAATTTAATTGACAGTAAAAAAGAATTCAACCTGATAGCTTACTGCATTCCAAAATTTAAAAATTTTGGTACGGACCTTTCTTATTTTTAACTCTCCCCTCAACCTCCTCAAGGTATTTCTGCCTAAAAGTTAAAACACCTAGTTGCTGAATCTGCCACTAAAGACAGTCCAAAGTTCCCATCCAATGGTAACAACTGTGACAGTCTTCTGCAAAAAGCAGGGTAAGGTGATCATTGTGTAAGGTGATCTTTACAACGGATGTTTGATTCTTCCACCTCCCATTCTTTAGCTCAGGCCCACAGCCTCCTACTCCTCTACCATACTCCCCTAACCACCTGGCCAAGTCCGGCTCTT